CGGGGGCGGCGGCGGAGGCGGCGGGGGCCCGGGGTCCCGGCAGGCCGCGTAGCGCTGCACGGTGCACGCCGCGCGCCGCCCGAAGCCCGCCTCCGGCTGGAAGCCGCTCTCTCGCCTCTGGCCGCCGGCGTAGTACCCCGGCGAGTGCTCGCTGGGTAGGTAATCGCTCTGTGAATATTCCTCGCACGGAGGGAACTTGGGGTCGACATAGTTTGAGTTGATCAAAAAAGAACTCATAGCCATTAATTTCTGGGAATTGCCCACAAAATATACTAAAATTTATTCCGACCCCTGACTCGTTTTCCTGTTTCCGAAAGCCCTCCTACTTACTGTCAAGTGAACAAAGTTAGGGGCCCACGTGATCCCCGGAGCCAATGGCCGCCCCGCCTGCGATTCCCGGATAAGGAAATCTGCTCACCCGGACCCTACTCCAGCCAAAGAGGTTTATTTCCCCTTCTTCTCTTTCCCCCTCCCCACCCACCCAACACCAGGATTTACATAGGACTCCTGCGGGGCGACCGCCTCCTCGCCAGGCTCTCTCCGGGATCAGAGAGAGAGAGACAGAGAAGGAGAGAGAGAGGGAGAGGAACAGGGCAGGTTGCCGCTGGAGGGCCTGTTGGGGCGCTGGGCAGAGAACAATCCCGGATCGCCTCGGAAGTTGGGGCTCCCGGTGCAGCCCCTCCTGTCCTGCCTCGCCTCCACCCCGCATTCTCTGCCTTCCATAGGCCCCCATCCCCTCCTCAGGACGGCGAGGAGCCCAGGAGTCTGTGTGGGGAGTTAAGTGAGAGACAGCCTGGGGGCTCTGCCTGGAGAAGGGAACCCACATTGGGGGCGAGAGGCACTGAGCATGGGGCTTTTCTCTGCAGTCGCCTGGGGAGGGGTAGGGAGTGAGAGAGGAGGCGTCGGGAGCAAGCAGGCGGGTGCACGGAGGGACTTGTCAGAGATGAATGGAACCGCGGGCGGATCGATAGGAAATTCATGCACTAATTCGGGGAGACCTCGCCTTCCAAATCGCATTTAGCTGCGCTATTAGTTTGGTTGTGTCAGTCAGTCCTTCCGTTCCCTTCTCCTATCCACTCCTCCCCGTGCCCAACGCGGCCCAAGCGGGGAGAAATGACTTGGTTTCTCACACTGAACACGAGCGCTGGAGTAAAAATCTTGCAACTTTTGAGAGCACACTGAATAGCAATTTGCTAATTCCAAAACCACCGGAGCAATGCTAATCACGGTGTGCAGACTTTCTAATTGCCGCTAATGCAGCCGCCTCTGCAGTGCAGAGAAATCTCACATCCTTATGATGCTGTGGGTAGGAGCCCTGGGGGTGACCCACACACAGAATAACACCCCTTCGTAACTGCATATTTCCAGGCCCTCTTGTTCTGATCCCAAACGAAAAGGAGACCTCAACATCCGTTTGAAAAGCGATTTTCTGTGCCTTCGCCCACTGACGACGATAGTCGTTCCCCGCCCCCCCCCCCCCCCGGATTTTCAGTAAAGCCTCCCTGATCCCAGAGTAGAGAATTAGTGGGCTTGAGGGAGAGAATAAAAATAAAACAACACCAGCAATATTAACCTATTAAGAGAAGCGAAAAGGGACCAAGCCTTCCAGGGGCAGGCGTGGGAGAATTCAGGTAGATGATTCCTCTGTCTCTAACCAGTAAGGGAGGAAAAGAAAGAAGAAAGAAAAAGGAAGGAGTCTTCGTGTGGTCAGTCACCGGATGGTCCTCATTTGGGAAAAAAAAAAATTTTTTTTTTCTTCGGGAAAAAAATGAGCGGAGTGTTTATGTCAACTACATATTCCCCTAGATACGAATTTGTGACCACAAAATTCCTTACACAAATTCGGATCTACAGGGTATATACAGAAGACAGACAGATCTTCTTGGCCCAGAAATTTTCCAGTTCTCCCACTTTGCGCGCCTTCTTCTCGTTTGGGGTGTGATTTCAGTGCTTTGATTTTATTTCGTTTTGTTCTACTTTTGAGTTCTGGGAGCAGGAAAAGGCACTGCGGGTCCATTTTGGGGATTACAAGGTTTTCAACTCTTTCTCTTCTATCAGAGAGAAATTGAAACCGCCGGTTCCGCAAAGGGACGCGAACCTCGCGGCCGCGGCGCAACCCTGGGCGGCGCATGAATTATGAGATGTAAACATTAGCTAAGCACAAAAGGAGGAAGGGTCATCCTGAGGCTGCAGCATAGTCAGAATCAGGCCCTTCTGGGTGCCCTCGCGCCCCTCCCCTCCCCCCAGGACTTTTATTTTTTTTTTTTTTAAGAAAAACAAAACCCCAATCGGTTCCTCCATGCCCCTCGAAGCCTTTAGTTTGCCATCAAACGAATATCTAGATATTTTCCAAGGCGCCTCTCAGCAAAGGGAGGAGGGAGAGGCGGCTGGGTGTGAAGGAGGTGTCATAAAAGTCCTTTTGGAAAAATTCAATGGTAAAAAGAGAGAGAAACAGCTGTAAAGAAAAATGCTGGGAGACCAAACAGATGGGGCCCCGGATATTTAATGACGGGCAATTCCATTTACAACCTGAGAAAAAGATCAAAGGCGTTTCATTTCCGAATGAAGGGCAATGAGGAACCATAAAAGATGCAGCCAGATGATATTCTGTCCCCTCCCAAACTCCCATACCTCCTGGGGCCAGAAAAGGGGGATAATCCCTGAAGTGTGCGAGGAACCCCGCTTCTCCCACCTCCCTAGCCCCAGGCAGACTCTCTCTGTCTAAATTTGCTCATTCTGCCACCTGCTAGGGTCGCTGGCAGTGCGACCAAAATGGGGGTCTGGGAAACCTGGGGGAACCTGGGGTTTCTGAATGAACTTCCTGACGGTCCCAGTAACTGCTGAATATACTAAACTGGGAGACTGGGGACTGGGCTGGAGGGAACTGGGTCCTAGACTGAATGCTGAGGGCCAGCACAGGGTTAGGGGAATTGGCGCAGAGAAAGCCTCCGCCTTGCCCAGACTCCCTACCCATCTCCCTGAGAAATACTTGCATCCCTGGTGAGCAAGTCAGAATCATATCAATTTCATTAACAAATACAGCGATAACACACACACACAAAAACAACCCTCTAACCATCACATTCCAGAAGTCTCTGCCCATCCACAATTCTGGGACCCTTGCAGGTGGGTAGGAGGAGTGCTCCCACTTGCCAGAAACTATGTCCAGAGACCCTCTGATTTTCTATCCTAAATCCAGATTGCCAATTTTGGCCTCCGGGCCTGATTTCTAACAACAACACTCTCCCAGCCCAGCCAGGCTGACTTGCATATATTTGAAAAATCACACACACACACACACACACACACACACACACACACACCCCACCCCACACCACACTTATATTTTAATGATCTTTGCCAAGAGAGGGTCCAATAGACCCCCCCACATGGGCACCTAGAGAGACTACTAGAGTCTGGCCCTGGGCCCACAGATAAAATGCCTGGGTAGGACCCCCACCAGCCCCGCGACCTCAAGCAGGGATCTTTCCAAGTCTTATCAAAGGCCAGTTAGTCAGGGGTTCCACGACCCATTCCAACTGGCCAGGCCCCTCCCCCACCCCATACCTCCTGTCCTTCTCAACTCGCTCGCTCTCTGAAACCCGTCCAACTCAGTCGCCTTTTCCGAATTTGGGGAGGGCCGCTAGGCCGGCCACCGGGACTCTCTGTTGCTCTGCACTTCACAAAGGATGCAGCCCAGGTGCTCGGAGCACCCCAAGAGAGAGGTATGGGAGACAGAGACACTGCGGGGCTGGGTATGGCTGATCTTAGGGACAGAGCGCAGAGATTTTCTCTTCTGCGCGCTGGGAGCCGCCACCTGCCCATCCCACCGAGGCGCCGCACCCCCCCCCCCACCAGCCGAGTGCAGCCGCGATGGGTGGACGACAAGGTTTATCAGCCACTCCCTAGACGGATTTCACCAAAACCGGGGGCTGCCTCTCCCTTCCACCCTCAAAAGAACGCTAACAGGAGTAGTCATAATAAAAATAAGAAAAAGCAAAAAGCTTTGCGCGCGCATCCCGAGCCACCTCCCCTGTACTCCCCGCTCGCTCGCTGGCTCGCCGGCCGCCTTCCCCCCCGGGCAGCCACAGGTTGCTAGAGTGACCTCTCACT